ATATATGCATAGTGTATGTATAGGGTGTATCGTGTGTATATGTACAGAGTCTATCTTGAGTGTATCATTGTATATGTAGATAGTCGATCGTGTATGTGCATATATATATATATAGAGTGTATCATGTGTGTATATGTAAAGAGTCTATCATGTATGGAAAGTGTCATATTTATAGAGTGTATGTGTATATATGGATGTAAAGTATATGTATTGAGTATATAATGTGTATATGTACAGAGTCTATCAAGTGTGCATATGTATACAGTGTATATGTAAAGAGTCTATCATGTATCATATGTATAGAGTCTATCATGTGTATACAGTGTATCATGTGGTTTGCATCATGTTCCAGTAGCTCAGCGGTTAATTCACTCACCTTCCATGCTGGAGATATAGAAGTGTATTATGTATATATGTTTAGAGTGTATCATGTGTGTATATGTAAAGAGTCTATTATGTATGGAATGTATCATATGTATGGAGTGTATGGAGTGTATGTGTATCATCTGTGTATATGTAAAGAGCCTATCATGTATCATATGTGTGGAGTGTGTATGCAGTGTATATGTATTGAGTGTATAATGTGTATATGTATAGTCTATCAAGTGTGCATATGTACTATGTATAGAGTCTATCAAGTTTGCATATGTACAGAATGTATGCAGTTTATTATGTGGTTTGAATCATGTCCCAGTAGCTCAGCAGTTAAGTCACTCACCTTTCACGCTGGAGACCAGGGTTCTATCCCAGACCTTGACAGGACTGTATCATGGGTATAGATGCATAGAGTGTGTATGTATAGGGTGTTTAATGTGTATATGTATAGAGTCTATCATGTGTGTATATGTAAAGAGTATAGAGTATAGAATATATCATGTGTATATATATGTATGGAGTATATATGTTCAAAGTGTATCGTGTATATATGCATAGAGTGTGTATGTATAGGATGTATCTTGTGTATATGTACAGAGTCTATGTATAGATTGTATCATGTGTGTATATGTAGAGAGTCGATCGTGTATGTGGATATGTGTATAATGTGTGTATATGTAAAGAGTCTATCATATGTATAGAGTGTATCATGTTTATATATATATAAGAATGGAGTGTATATGTATAGAGTGTATCATGTGTGTATATGTAAAGAGTCTATCATGTATGGAAAGTATCATATTTATAGAGTGTGTGTATGGGGTGTATATATGTATGGAGTGTATGTGTATAATGTGTATATATGTATGTAAAGTATATGTATTGAGTATATAATGTGTATATGTACAGAGTCTATCATGTGTGCATATGTATACAGTGTATCATGTGGTTTGCATCATGTTCCAGTAGCTATATGTAAAGAGTCTATTATGTATGGAATCTATCATATGTATGAGTGTATGTATAAATGTATAGTGTATCATGTGTGCATATGTACAGTGTGTATATGTAAAGAGTCTATCATGTATGGAAAGTATCATATTTATAGAGTGTGTGTATGGGGTGTATATATGTATGGAGTGTATGTGTATAATGTGTATATATGTATGTAAAGTATATGTATTGAGTATATAATGTGTATATGTACAGAGTCTATCATGTGTGCATATGTATACAGTGTATCATGTGGTTTGCATCATGTTCCAGTAGCTATATGTAAAGAGTCTATTATGTATGGAATCTATCATATGTATGAGTGTATGTATAAATGTATAGTGTATCATGTGTGCATATGTACAGTGTGTATATGTATAGAGTCTATCTTGTGTGCATATGCATGGAGTGTATATGTATAGCGTGTAACGTGTATTTATGTATGCAGTGTAAATGTATAGAGTCTATCATGTGTGCATATGTACAGTGTATCATGTGGTTTGCATCATGTTCCAGTAGCTCAGCGGTTTAGTCACTCACCTTCCATGCTGGAGATATAGAAGTGTATTATGTATATATGTTTAGAGTGTATCATGTGTGTATATGTAAAGAGTCTATTATGTATGGAATGTATCATATGTATGGAGTGTATATATGTATGGAGTGTATGTGTATCATCTGTGTATATGTAAAGAGTCTATCATGTATCATATGTGTGGAGTGTGTATGCAGTGTATATGCATTGAGTGTATAATGTGTATATGTATAGTCTATCAAGTGTGCATATGTACTATGTATAGAGTCTATCAAGTTTGCATATACAGTATAAAGTATACAGTTTATTATGTGGTTTGATCCATGTTCCAGTAGCTCAGCGGTTAAGTCACTCACCTTTCACGCTGGAGACCAGGGTTCTATCCCAGACCTTGACAGGACTGTATCATGTGTATAGATGCATAGAGTGTGTATGTATAGGGTGTTTACTGTGTATATGTAAAGAGTCTATCATGTGCGTATGTGTATACAGTGTATCATATGTATAGATGCATAGAGTGTGTATGTATAGGGTGTTTTATGTGTATATGTAAATAGTCTATCATGTATGGAATGTATCATATGTATAGAGTGTATGTTTATTGTATAGAGTGTATCATGTGTGCATATGCATAGAGTCTATCTTGTGTGCATATGTATGGAGTGTAACATGTATATATGTATTGAGTCTATGATGTGTGTATATGTGTATGCAGTGTATAAATATAGAGTCTATCTTGAGTGTATATGTATGGATTGTATCATGTATCATTGTATCATATGTAAAGAGTCGATCGTGTATGTGCATATATGTATAGAGTGTATATGTAGAGTCGATCGTGTATGTGCATATATGTATAGAGTGTGTATATGTAAAGAGTCTATCATATGTATAGAGTGTATCATGTTTATATATATGAATGGAGTGTATATGTATAGAGTGTATCATGTGTGTGTGAGTGTGTATGCAGTCTATATGTATTGAGTGTATAATGTGTATATGTATAGTCTATCAAGTGTGCATATGTACTATTTATAGAGTCTATCAAGTTTGCATATGTACAGAGTGTATACAGGTTATCCTGTGGGTTGAATCATGTTCCAGTAGCTCAGCGGTTAAGTCACTCACCTTTCACGCGGGAGACCCGGGTTCTAACTCAGAGCCTGACAGGAGAGTATCATGTGTAAAGAGTCTATGTATAGAGTCTAATGTGTGCGTATGGAGTGTATATTTGTATGGAATGTATGTGTAAATTGTGTATATATGTATGCACTGTTTATGTATAGAGTGTATAATGTCTATATGTATGGAGTCTATCACAGTTTATCATGTGGTTTGCATCATGTTCCAGTAGCTCAGCGGTTCAGTCATTCACCTTTCATGCTGGAGACCTGGGTTCTATCCCAGACCTTGACAGGAATGTATCATATGTATGATGTGTATACATGTATGGTGTGTATGTGTATGTGTATCATCTGTGTATACGTAAAGAGTCTATGTGTGGAGTGTGTATAATGTGTATATGTATAGAGTCTATCAAGTGTGCATATGTACAGTGTATTCTATCATGTATAAATGTACAGTGTGTATATGTATAGAGACGATCTTGTGTGCATATTTATAGAGTGTATCATGTACATATGTATGCAGTGTATATGTATAAAGTTTAACATATGTACAGTGTATCAGTGTAGTTAAGTCACTCACCTTTCACGCTGGAGACCTGGGTTCTATCCCAGACCCTGATATGAGTGTATCTATGTATGGAATGTTTCATATGTATGATGTGTATACATGTATGGAGTGTATATATATATATATATATATGTATGGAGTGTATGTGTATATGTAAAGAGTCTATCATATGTGTGGAGTGTGTATGCAGTGTATAATGTGTATATGTATAGAGTCTATCAAGTGTGCATATGTACAGTTTATATGTATGGAGTCTATCAAGTGTGCATGTGTATACAGTTTATCATGAGGTTTGCATCATGTTCCAGTAGCTCAGCGATTAAGTCACTCACCTTTCATGCTGGAGACCAGGGTTCTATCCCAGACCTTGACAGGAGTGTATCATGTGTATAGATCCATAGAGTGTATATGTATAGGGTGTAAATATGCATAGAGTCTATCATGTGTATAGAGTGTATCATGTTTATATATATGAATGGAGTGTATATGTATAGAGTGTATCATGTGTGTGTATGTAAAGAGTCTATCATGTATGGAAAGTATCATATTTATAGAGTGCATGGGGTGTATATATGTATGGAGTGTATGTGTATATATGTTTGTTAAGTATATAATGTGTATATGTACAGAGTTTATCAAGTGTGCATATGTATACAGTGTATCATGTGGTTTGCATCATGTTCCAGTAGCTATATGTATATGTAATGAGTCTAATATGTATGGAATGTATCATGTGTATGTATAAATGTATAGAGTGTATCATGTGTGTGTATGTATAGAGTCTATCTTGTATGCATATGCATGGAGTGTATATGTATAGCGTGTAACGTGTATTTATGTATGCAGTGTAAATGTATAGAGTCTCCACTTCACTTCCTAATCTGCAATTGCCTATTTGAATATCACACTAACTGTACAAAAAAAAAAAAAAAAAAAATTACTAACACTTCCCTTCTTAGACTTTACAGACCTGAAACTTGCCTTTAGTACTTATTCATTGTTGCTCTTAGTTGTGTAAATTGCTTCCTTGTCCTCATTTGTAAGTCGCTTTGGATAAAAGCGTCTGCTAAATGACTAAATGTAAATGTAAATGTAGAGTCTATCATGTGTGCATATGTACAGAGTGTATCATGTGGTTTGCATCATGTTCCAGTAGCTCAGCAGTCAAGCCACTCACCTTTCACGCTGGAGACCTTGGTTCTGTCCCAGAACCTGACAGGAGTGTATTACGTGTATAAATGCATAGAGTGTGTATGTATAGGGTGTATAATGTGTATATGTAAAGAGTCTATCATGTATCATATGTATGAAGTGTATAAATGTATAGAGTGTATATATGTGTGACCAGATGACTTTTGTCAGTGTTAATGATTCAGCAGAGGGTAAATGAAGTGACTTACAATTAGGAGGACAATTATCTTTTATTCCACAAGTTGTAATATACAAATTGTCTCCATCTTTATTGCAAATAAGGAGGAAAAAAAAAGTAAATAAACTAAATAAAAGAAAAGAAAAAAACAAACCACTAATGGCCACCGGTTACCCAGAAAGTGAGGACAGATGAGGTACCCAAGCAGCAGTGTTTTCACCACACTCAGCTCACAGCAATCACACTGCAACCTAAAAAAACACAAAAATCAACAGTGACCAAATCACCACACAATCCCAACCACCTTTTCTCCACCGCCATCCACACAGTGCAGGGAACCCAGTGGCCACTGATGGTAAAGCAAATCCAAAACAGAACCTACAAAAGAAAGAAAAGTTTAACAAAGGAAAATACAAATTGTTGTCAACCTAGCAACATAATAAACAACCCAAATTCGCATACAACAAAAGTCAACAACAAAGATTCAATAACAAAAATATTATTGTAAGTCTAAAGTAAACGGCAACCGTGCATCCCTAAAAAGGGGAAACACAGTTTATTACAACACAGAAACCAAACACAATAAAACATCCTATAAATAAAACATGCATTAAGAGATAAAAACCCTTCTTTGTTTTAAACAATACCTCTAAGATCCTTAATTTCCCATGCTGACACTCAGGCAACAATCAGCAAACAATGATCCCGTAATAGCACTAGAAATAAAAAGGATAATATCATTAAAACACAATACTAAAAACGGTTTATTAAAATTATAAAACAACTACCTCTTTAAATAAGTTCGCAATGAAGATCTGGCAGCATTAAATGTTGTTTGCTCATCAGCTACCCCTCACGTGAAGTGTTGACTCTATAAATGTCAGTTTATGCATGCGTTAAAAAAAAAAGGAAACTCCGCGAGAAAGAGAGACTGCACATCACACAAATAAACTTGCTACCTACCAGCCTTTACGTGCCGCGACCAGAATGCAACAACGACAGCAAAATGGCAAACAAACTTTGACTCACTTATATAGCGCTGAGCAATCTACAACCTGTTGTTAATTTACGCCGCAATCAGGAAATAAAGTGTCCGCACATAAACAACAACACTTCCTTGCATGGCGCTAAGCCTGCTGGGACTTGTAGTGCCCAGACATGGTCTCATTACAATCTACCCCCCAAAATTTAAATCGACGTCTCGTCGATTAACTTAAACCACTACAACCATGGGCGAAACAAACCATTTAGGACATTGCTGGACAGCCCCGTTACTGGAAGAGCAACATGGCTATGCAACTCAGCTTCACTGACATGTACAGGCCGAGGAAGATGGTATGGGTTTGAATGCTGTCCAGCTCTTGCTCTTCTCGTACGCCTTACAACCGCTCCTTCCGGCCGTGGAGCAGACTGGTCCTCCACATCAACCACTACAGGTAAAGATGGACTAATATCTTCTATTATTTGTGTTCTAGGTTGCGGATTAACTTTTTCTTGAGATAACACACCCCCAGGCCCCAGGGACATCATTACAATATCTCCCTCTTCATCAGTGAAGTTTTCTTGATAGTCTGCCTGATCTAAAAGGCCAAAATCATTTGGGGGGGTATAGGCTGGACGCAGTTCAGAACGATGGAGGTTTCTAATATTGCCACCTTCTACAGGAACAATAGCATACACAGCTCCAAGTTCATCAAGGCACCGCACTACTTTGTAAGGGGTTGAATCCCAAGCATCTTGAATCTTGTTCCTGCCTTTTATGTTGTGAGCTCTTCGATACACAAGCTGGCCTTCTTTTAGCTTCTCATGTCGCACAAGCTGGTCATTTGTTCGAGCACGATGTTCTGTGGCACACTGAAGACGAGCTCGGGCATTGTTGAATATTCTTTCCAAGTTGTCCTTATGGTACACCATAAAGCAAGATGGTCTGGCCAGCGACACTTTTCCTTTGGTGGCAATGTACGAAGCAAATCATGCATGGTTCTATTAAACCTTTCGCATTGCCCATTTCCTTGTGGTCGGTAAGGTGTGGTGCGAGTCTTTGAAATGCCATATAGTTTGCATAACTCGTAGATCAACTTGCTTTCAAAGCACCTTCCTTGATCGGAATGGATTTGTCGTGGTACTCCAAACAAGTAGAACCAACGCTCCACTAAAACACGTGCCACTGTTACTGCAGTTTGATCTTTAGTTGGGATAGCTTGTGAGAACTTTGAAAACACATCAGTCATAACTAGTACATTTTCAAGCCCATTTGATGCAGGTTCCAGTAATGTGAAGTCAATAGCCAGGATGTCCAATGGTCTCTCGGCCATCAGGTGCCCCATGAAACTTCGCACTCTTGGTCGTACCACTTTAGCTAGAGTGCAACGCTGACATCACTTGCACCATTCCTCAATAAACTTAAACATACCTGGCCAATAACAACGAGTTCTCACTAAACTTGCGGTCCGCTCAATGCCTTGATGCCCATGATCATCATGTAGACTGGGCAAGACTCTTTCCCTGAGTACAGATGGTAATACAACCTGGCGGATTTCTCGATGTTCCTCTTGAGGATGAAACTTTCGGTACAACACTCCCTCCATCTTCACCAGCTTCCCCCACTGCCGCACGAGTTCCAGCACCTCTGATGACTCCATTGCTCTCTCTTGTGCATCAGGGGTCTTTTGGTGATTCCAATAAACAAGAAAACGCCCAATCGCAGGATCCGCTTCCTGTAACGCACCAAGATCTTTCCTAGGCTGTTCTGGAAAGACAGACATGGTTTCACTGGCAACTGTGTGACAACTGTTGGGACCATACTGATGTAACTCCTTTGGCACTGGAGTCGTTAAAGCAAGTTCAACCACAGATGTAGTTTTTCTAGAAAGAGCATCAGCATTAACATTTGAACGTCCAGGCTTGTATTTTATTTCCAAATCGAAATCTGCCAGTTGATTAGCCCAACGCTGTTCCAATGCTCCCAACTTTGCAGTCTGCAAGTGGCTAAGTGGATTATTATCAGTGTACACAAAGCACTTCTGGCCCAACAAGTACTCCCTGAACTTTTCTGTAACAGCCCATTTCAGGGCCAAAAACTCCAATTTCATAGAGCTGTAATTTTGCATGTTACGTTCAGGTGGTCGCAATCCACGGCTTGCAAAAGCCACTGGTCGATGTTTACCTCCATGTTCTTGAGACAACACAGCGCCCAGACCTTGGTGACTTGCATCAATGTCCAGAATAAAGGGCTTACTAAAATCAGCATAAGCCAGAACAGGAGCGTTAGTCAGAGCCATTTTAAGGGCTTGGAAAGCATGTTCACAAGAATCAGTCCAATTGGACCCCAGGTTAATCTTAGGTCGTTTACTCTTTTGCCCCCTAATCAGCTCCGCTACCAATGCATTCAAGGGTCCAGCCATTTTTGAAAAGTCCTTTACAAACCGTCGATAGTAGCTAGCAAAGCCAAGGAAAGATCTGAGTTCTTGAAGACTTTGTGGCTGATTCCACTTAGCTACGGCCGATATCTTCTCTGGATCTGTGCTAACCCCAGTGGAAGAGACCACATGCCCCAAATAACGTACTTCTGACCGGAAAAAGCAACATTTACTGAGTTTTATCTTAAGGTTTTGTTGTCTCAGCCTATCCAGCACCAGCCCCAGTCATTGAATATGTTGCTTAATAGTTGTTGAGAAAACAATCACATCATCCAAGTAGAGCAGCAGCGACTGAAAACTCTGGTCCCCAAAAATTCTCTCCATTAATCTTTGAAAAGTGCTTGGGGCATTGCACAGTCCAAATGGCATCCTGTTAAATTCAAACAGCCCAAATGGGGTACAAAAAGCAGTCTTGAATCGATCAGATTCCGCTACCGGTACCTGATTATATCCACTTGCCAGATCCAAAGTTGAAAACCACTTTGCTCCAGTCAATGCATCCAGCGACTCTTCTATCCTTGGCAAAGGGTAGGCATCCTTACGGGTTCTGGCATTCAGCTGGCGGTAGTCAATACACATCCTCAAAGAACCATCTTTCTTTTTCACCAATACAATTGGGGAGGCATATGGGCTACTGCTCTCCCTAATAATGTGGCTGTCCAACAACTGTCTAATGTGAGCCTTCACATCTTCAAACTGACTGGGGGGAATTCTACGATAGCGTTGGCGTACTGGTGTATCATCTACTAAGGGGATTTGATGGTCTATTAAATTTGTACATCCCAAATCGCCATCATGTTTTGAAAAGACGTCTGAATATTTCATTAACAATCTCTTAACTTCCTCCTCCTCAATCTCTGAAAGCCCAGACAGTTCTACGCCTTGCATATCAATGCTTGACTCCGATGTAACAGCATGGCACTAAACAACCACTACATTAGGGTCCTGTGACCTATCACCCTGAAAGAAAATGCCCTGAGATGAACTTATGATTTCAACATTAAGCAAACTACCCATTCTAATTCTGGGGGGCAAATATAAAGGTTCTGTGCCGACATTAACTATAGGTACATGAACTATACCTTGTACACACTGCAGCATAGCAGATGAGATTAGCACTCCAGCGGGTAACCCCCCGTTCTCTGGGTTTTGGGGTTCTAAAACCACTACTGTCCCACTGTGTATATTCTTTGGGCACAAAGCAGGCACTAACCTCATAGTTCCAGCTGGAATCTGAACAGGTTGGCAGGACTGCACTCTGGCATACCCAACAAAGCCAGGAACAGGGGCATCCTCCACCCTGTGACACTGGGATAGGGCGTCTCTCCAACCTTGTTCTGCCTGCCTAACCTGTGGAACTGAAAATAGTGCTGGGCCATGTTTTTCAAACAAATCATTATAACATTGTCCTATAATGTTCATGCCCAAGAGGCCAGGAGTAAATTCTTTCTTTTGATGAAAAAAAACATCAACTGGATCTTTCACAACCAAAATGCCCTGTCCTCGAAGGGTTTGTCCCAACACTTTCACGTCAGTTTCAAAATAACCCACATAGGGGATCTCAAGGCCATTAGCTGCTTTTAATTGAAGCCAGTTACATTTCTTGAGACCATTCACCCCTAATTGATGGAAATGTTTCTCAAAAAATGACTCTGTTATCGTGGTTACCATGGATCCTGTATCCAACAAACAAGAAATATCTACTCCCATCCCAATCTGTGCATTTACAAGAGGGCATTTGCCCACGAGTCGCTGTAAAATAGTAGGGCAAACGGGTGACTTTGGAGCTTCCCTAGTCCCTTCAACAATCTGGCTTAAAATTGCAGTAGGGGCTACAGTATCGGATTCCCCAACTGAAATCTCATTTACATTTGCCTGAGGTGATCCGGAGTTTGACTCTGTAGGCCAAGGTGAACGACAAAATCTGGCAATGTGCCCCATTTTGTTACAACGTAGGCATCGCCGCAATGTATTTTGCCTTGGTAAAGCAACAGCAGGGGGATCATTCTTTGTAGGCATAAGTCTATCAAGACGCTGGGTAAGATCATTTAATTGTGCTTGTTGCTGTCTCAACATTTCTTTCATTTCTTTTAACTCTGTTGATTCCTGGAATCTAACCTTAGGTTCCTGGTCAACTACCCTGGTTTGAGTGGCATTACACCATGGCTGGGAATATGAAAGAGTTGCTTCCCCGCTCCCCTCTTCTACCCATCTAAGAGCCTCACGTCGAACCTCGAGCAACGTAAGAGAAGGCTTCTCCCTCACAAGTCGTTTCAACTCACGTTTTAGCGTTACATCTTGGACATATTCAACAAACTGATCGCGAAGCACTCTATCGGAATTGGGAACACTACCTGGATTACTATTAAGAATCAAGTCCATCAATGACATTAAAGCATGAGAAAATTCAGTCAATGATTCACCTTCTTTCTGTTTTCGCTCATAAAACCTCTGCTGTAATTGTACAAATGTCTGTTTTCCCCCATACAAATCTTTTAAAACTTCAAAAACAGACTCTGGAGTTTGTCTAGTAACAGGTGGATGAAGTTTTACCTCCATTCTAGCTTCTCCCCCAAGATGATCCAACAGAAAGACCACCTTTTCTTTATCAGCCCAACCTCTACCCTCAATACACACCTTATCCTCGTCAATCCAGTCCTCAATACTCAATTTAGAGTCCATGTTCCCATAAAAACGTGGGCACTTCCTCTCTCGGGGCACATAAAGCATTCTGTTAAAAGACACTGAAGATGGGTCATTAGAAACAGAAGGGTGAGGTTGGCTAGGGGCATCACTGCTAGATGGGGGACGCAGTCTCATCAACTCCTCATTCTGTGCTTGTAAGCTTTGAACCCGCTCCCTCAAGTCCATTAGTTCTTGCTCCATATCTGTTGGTGAATTCTGGAAGACAGTTCAATCAGCACAATGACATCCAGGGTCCACAAAGCAGAGTCTGCGAAATCCTTTATGCACGGTCACCGTTTACTTACACTGAACTTATGAAACTTATAAAAACATTTAAAGTTGCACAATCGATAGAGTAAGACACTTCACAACAGCCTCTGCTAAATTAAATAAATTTTAAATAAACCCTGCCGACTACGCCAATTGTGACCAGATGACTTTTGTCAGTGTTAATGATTCAGCAGAGGGTAAATGAAGTGACTTACAATTAGGAGGACAATTATCTTTTATTCCACAAGTAGTAATATACAAATTGTCTCCATCTTTATTGCAAATAAGGAGGAAAAAAAAGTAAATAAACTAAATAAAAGAAAAGAAAAAAACAAACCACTAATGGCCACCGGTTACCCAGAAAGTGAGGACAGATGAGGTACCCAAGCAGCAGTGTTTTCACCACACTCAGCTCGCAGCAATCACACTGCAACCTAAAAAAACACAAAAATCAACAGTGACCAAATCACCACACAATCCCAACCACCTTTTCTCCACCGCCATCCACACAGTGCAGGGAACCCAGTGGCCACTGATGGTAAAGCAAATCCAAAACAGAACCTACAAAAGAAAGAAAAGTTTAACAAAGGAAAATACAAATTGTTGTCAACCTAGCAACATAATAAACAACCCAAATTCGCATACAACAAAAGTCAACAACAAAGATTCAATAACAAAAATATTATTGTAAGTCTAAAGTAAACGGCAACCGTGCATCCCTAAAAAGGGGAAACACAGTTTATTACAACACAGAAACCAAACACAATAAAACATCCTATAAATAAAACATGCATTAAGAGATAAAAACCCTTCTTTGTTTTAAACAGTACCTCTAAGATCCTTAATTTCCCATGCTGACACTCAGGCAACAATCAGCAAACAATGATCCCGTAATAGCACTAGAAATAAAAAGGATAATATCATTAAAACACAATACTAAAAACGGTTTATTAAAATTATAAAACAACTACCTCTTTAAATAAGTTCGCAATGAAGATCTGGCAGCATTAAATGTTGTTTGCTCATCAGCTACCCCTCACGTGAAGTGTTGACTCTATAAATGTCAGTTTATGCATGCGTTAAAAAAAAAAGGAAACTCCGCGAGAAAGAGAGACCGCACATCACACAAATAAACTTGCTACCTACCGGCCTTTACGTGCCGCGACCAGAATGCAACAACGACAGCAAAATGGCAAACAAACTTTGACTCACTTATATAGCGCTGAGCAATCTACAACCTGTTGTTAATTTACGCCGCAATCAGGAAATAAAGTGTCCGCACATAAACAACAACACTTCCTTGCATGGCGCTAAGCCTGCTGGGACTTGTAGTGCCCAGACATGGTCTCATTACATATGTATGCAGTGTATATGTAAAGAGTCTATCATGTATGGAATGTATCATATGTATATATGTATAGGGTGTATAATGTGTATGTGTAAAGAGTCTTTCATGTATGGAATGTATCATATGTATAGAGTGTGTGTATATATGTTTGGAGTGTATATGTATAGAGTCTATCATGTGTGCATATGTATAGAGCCTGTCTTGTGTGCGTATATATAGAGTGTGTCATGTGTATGGAGTGTATATGTATAGGGTGTATGATGTTTATATGTATAGAGTCTATCAAGTGTGCATATATACAGTGTATCATGTGGTTTGCATCATGTTCCAGTAGCTCTGCGGTTAAGTCACGCTGGACACCTGGGTTCTATCCCAGAACCCGACAGGAGTATATCATGTGTATATATGCATAGAGTGTGTATGTATAGAGTTTATCATGTGTGTATATGTAAAGAATCTATTATGTATGGAATGTATCCTGTGTAAATATATATGGAGTGTATAATGTGTATATGTATAGAGTCTATCATGTGTGCATATGTACAAAATGTGTCGTGTGTATATGTATGGAGTCTATCATGTATTAAATGTATCGTGTGTATATTTATAGAGAGTGTATATGTACAGTGTGTCGTGTATATATCCATAGAGTGTTTACAGTGTATTATGTGGTTTGCAGCATGTTCCAGTAGCTCAGCGGTTAAGTCATTCACCTTTCACACTAGAGACCGGGGTTCTGTCCCAGACCCTGACAGGAGTGTATCATGTGTATATGTGTATTGAGTGTTTCATGTGTGTATATGTAAAGAGTCTATCATGTGTGGAATGTATATATGTATGGAGTGTATATGTATATAGTGTATACAATGTATCATGTGGTTTGGACTCACGGATGTAAAGCTCAGTGGTAGAGCATTTTACTGCAGATCAAGAGGTCCCCGGTTCAAATCCAGGTACCCCTTTGCCAAGACCTTGAGTTTGTGTCTGTAACTTACCTAGTTCCTGGGTTGGTACATTGAAGTTGGCTCTAACTGCATGACCAATAGGTTTTTGAAAATGGATTTTCAAACAGATCTTTACAAAAGAGTTTTCTTGTTTTGCTACACCAAAATCTTCGTCATAGGGGTAAAGCACAGTGGTAGAGCATTTGTTTGCAGGTCAAGAGGTCCACGATTTAAATTCGTGTTCCTCCTTTGGCACGACCTTGGATTTGTGTCTTTAACTTAGCTTGACCTTGGGTTGGTACATTGAAGTTGGATCTTCCTTACTGCATGACCAATGCTTTTTTGAAAATGGATTTTCCTACAGATCTTTATGAAAGAGTTTTCTTTCTTTGCTATAGCAACAATTTTGTCATGGGGGTATACCTCTGTGGTAGAGCATTTGACTGCAGTTCAAGAGGTACTCAGTTCAAATATCAGTGCCCCCTTTGGCAAGACCTTGGATTTGTGTCTGTAACTTACTTTGACCCTGGGTTGGTATATTGAAGTTGGCTCTTCCGAACGGCATAACCTATTGCTTTTTTTTGCAAATTAATTTTCAAACAGGCATTTATGATTTTTTTTTTGTTGTTGTTGTTGTTGCTATACCAAAGTCTTTGCCATGGGGGTATAACTCAGTGATAGAGCATTGGACTGCAGATCAAGAGGTCCCCTGTTCAAATTTGGGTGCCCCCTTTGGCAAGACCTTGGATTTGTGTCTCTAACTTACCTTGCCCTTTGGTTGGTACTTTAGAAGTTAGGTTTTCCTAACTGCATGACCAGTCGCTTTTTTAAAAAATTGATTTTCAAAAAGATCTTTATGAAAGTGTTTTTTTTTTTTTTTTTGCTATACCAAAGCATTTGGCATGGGGGTATAGCTCAGTGGTAGAGCATTTGACTGCAGATCAAGAGGTCCCCGGTTTAAATCTGGATGCCCCCTTTGGCAATATCTTGGATTTGTGTCTTTAACTTACCTTGCCCCTTGGTCTGGCTCATTGAAATGGGCTCTTCCTAACAGCATAACCAATTGCTTTTGTTTTTTGAAAATTAATTTTCAAACAGACCTTTATGAAAGAGTGTTTTTTTTATTTGCTTTACCAATAGTTTAATAGTCATGGGGTATAGCTCAGTGTTAGAGCATTTGATTGCAGATCAAGAGGTCCCTAATTCAAATCTGGCTACTGCCTTTGTCAAGACCTTTGATTTGTGTTGTAACTTACCCTGACATTGAAATTGGCCCTTCTTAACGGCATAACCAATTGATTTTTTTGCTAATTTTTTTTCAAACAGACCTTTATGAAAGTTTTTTTTTTTTTTGGCGCTATACCAAAGTTTTTCATTTTCTTGGGGGTAAAGCTCTGTGGTAGAGCATTTGACTGCAGATCAAGAGGTCCCCGGTTCAAATCTGGGTGCCCCTTTTGGCATGACCTTGGGTTTGTGTCTGTAACTTATCTCGACACTGGGTTTGTTGTATTGAAATTTGTTCTTCCTAACAGCATAACCATTTGCTTTTTTTTTCTTTTTTTTTTTCAAACAGACCTTTGTGAAAGTTATTTTTGTCACACCAAAGTTTTTCATTTTCATGGGGGTATAGCTTTAAAAATGAAAGCGCTGTTCACAGATGGCGGGAAGAACAGCCGTGATTACAGTCCGTATGAGCATAATACGCGATTATCACAGGTAATCCGTAATATACGCAGTGGAAAAAAGTTGCACATCAGGCATGCTCATGTCTGGATCCACAAATATCGCTTTAACAGCCAAGAGTAGAGAAAAAGTTACCTCACAAACAGGCCAGCGGGTCAAACGTCCAAAGTGAGAGAGAGACAGAGATGGAATTTTACAGCATTTCTCCTTATATTGAAATTGCGGCTCATGTGCTGTGTCGCCTTCACTCGCCCTCGCCTCCGTCCTTCACCATAGTATTGCAACATCGCACATAGGAGATGAATGATGTCAGTGCGTAATAACCGGTTATGATTTATTACTGAACTGATGTCGATAATTTTAACACCCCTAGTAACGACTTTTTTGCAGAAAAAAATGACAAAAGAAATTACAAAAAAATTACTGCAGATCAAGAGGTCCCCAATTCAAATCCTGTTGCCCTCTTTGGCAAGATCTTGGATTTGTGTCTGTAACTTACCTTGACCCTAACTTTGGCACATTGAAATTGGCTCCTCCTAACGGCATAACCAATCGCTTTATTTTGCAAATTAATTTTCAAACAGAGCTGTATGAAAGTTTTTTTTTTCTTTTTGCTATACCAACAGTCTTTGTTTTCATGGGGGTATAGTTTAGTGGTAGAGCATTTGATTGCAGATCAAGAGGTCCCTGGATCAACACCACCCCCACCCCCTTTAATCTTCATCATGAAGAGTAAAAGAAAGATAACTGAAGATAATTTTATTATTGTCCACACAAACTCATGATGATGTTATTTATTGTCGGATAATTTAAGGATTCTGATTGGTTGACTGTTTTTTCCCCCCTTTTAAAAATTGGACATCTAAAAATGATTTTTATTATGTTACTATAATAGGAGCTGCTGTGTGGATACATCTTCCCCAGTGGATGTACAATAAAATTTGAGCTCAGCTTGTATTGATAGATTGTCATGGTGGATGCTAGTTATTGCTCTTGATGTGAATGGGCCATAGACAAAATAATTGATGAACAAAGTACTCACTTTCTTCCACATTTGAAAACTTAAACCAAAATACTCATGCAAGACCACTGATATTTTGCACTGATGACATCATTTGGAGCAAGAGTCTGTGCTGTAGCATTCAGAAGCTGGATCAAACTCCTGCAGAACCAATAGTGTGCACATAATCACGAAACCACAACACATTTCTGTAGCATCAAATAAACTAAAATCACCCTATTAAAAATAATACACTTTAACATCAACATGATACAAACTACTTTGAGTGCACTTAAAATCATAATTTACAATGTTTATTTTCCAAGCTTGCATTCCTATTCTTAGGGTAAATAATTAATGTTAATGGAAATTAATGTAAATTTTGGTAAACTTTAATCAAAGTCTGAGCATTTACTTCCGTGTTTGGAGTAGCGGTCCTTCTGTTGATGTCAGCTTGATGGCTTCCATAGCAACTGCATAACAATGTTCTTAAAACCACTCCTCTTACTGTGAATTTGCAATGACAAAAGAATGACAAAAAGAAACACCCCGCCCCCTACCCAAATGCCCTTTTTAATTGGAAGTACTGAAATAAAAGTCTCAGTGACTTTCAGTTCAAACGGACTTTAAAAAAAATTAAATATATAAAAATTTAAATTTCTAAAAGTGTCTGATGGACATCAGTAATCAAATTATTAGCCTTAATGTGAATAAGACAATAATATGATTAAGGCGTTTACACGAGTTGCTTTTTGAACGTTCACTTCATGATCCTGTTTTACTTGTTATAGCACAAAATTCGATTAACTTCATTGCATCACCACACTATCCGCGTTTCCTCCGTAGTTTCGTGTAATTTCAGGGGTTTCATTTTTAATTTGTCAACTTTAACTGCAGTTTGGCACTTTCACTTTCATTCAGAATAATTTTTATGCATGCCCCCTGTGACAAACAAGATATTGGATGCAGCTATGAACTGCTTTGTAGTGTAGTTGCATGCTGTATAGGGAAAAACCCTCCATATTTCGTGATGCAGTTGTCTGTGGTCTTCAATGGTACAGGGAATAGTGTCAAACAGCCGTGTGTTGAGACTATCCTGTCACAAAATGCGACAAAAAAATTCTACACAACGGTAATCGTTTGATTAAGGTGTTTATATGTCTGTGTTGCGCTTCAATAATGCAAATAAAATCAGTATATTCCACAATTTAATTTAGTTTCTGTTTACTTCGATTATGACCTTGATCGGATTAAGTTCATAAAAAAAAACGTTGTTTTCATGGTAGACTCTTAATCTGAGTACTGTCTTGATCGTATTAAAATCAGATTATTGGTGTCCATGTAAACATACTCATGGTCAAGTGTAATTGAGCTT